TCTTTGAAGTAAAAATAATAATATCAATTATATTTTTGGAAAATTCGAAAAATTAAAATTGAATTTTATTAACTAAAGAAACGAATTAATTCTTAAAATATAATGTGATTTTACTCCACAGCTTGCTTAGAAATACGATTAATTAAAGATAAATGATGGACTTTTACACTAATAAGATGATTTTTAAAATAATTTTAAAAATAACTCTTTTAATATTCATTGTGTGGTGGGAAGTCACTCAGCAATGAGGTCAGAAAGGTCCATTGATCGGATGCTAAGATACGGGGACCGATCTACTCGATACACAGCCCACCTGAAGATCCACGTTGCCAGTCGCAACGTCTACAACTGGATTCAGCAGCCGCCATACAACGCAAAGTTCAAGGAAACAACTACCTTATTCCAAGTTGGAGTAGTTCACCAATGGCCGAGTGGATAAAACCGCTAAACACTGGTAGTTAGTAACGGGTTTGCGTTTGCCATGTGGAATTTTACGGGTTTTCTATGCTTTTCACGTGTCTAAACACTAAATAGGGCACATCGCCTAAATGTTGCGTTGCCTTATTTCATCAAGCAATTCTTAAAGTCCAAGAGACTATATTTTTGCCCTTTAATAGAAAATATAAAATTATATTTAACATAAAAAGTCTTATTTTATATTATGATAAACTATATATGAATAAGTGATTTGAAAATAATGATGTTCAAACAACAGATTTAGTCATCATATTCTAATTCAAATTGGAGTATTCTAAATGTCTTAAAAATTTCATAAAAATTCAATAAAATAGACAAACTAAAATTATTTTAAATTATTAGACGAGAAATGATAATAAATAATATTTTAATTTATATAATCATCCTTGAAAACCTATCGATTAATTATTAAGCCATGTATTGAAATAAATACGAAATAAGATGATCCTGCTTTTCATGTTTATATTATTATTATTATGTTGGGTTTTGTGAGTTATACTCGGTTCACACCGGTGGCTGTGTACTAGCCGGACCAGAGTCAAGACATAGCAACCAAAACAAAACTAAAATTGAATAAGTGTGTCAGTGTGTGTGTCTGTATTCAGAAATTTCCTAACAATGTGGCATGTATTCAATATAGTGGCCTTCTGTAGTGTGATGTATGTATTTCTACTCAATTGTAATGTTCCCAGGCTTTTGTGTAGTGTGTATGGTATCACACCTGTACAGGAGAGAACGACAGGTACAATAAGAATCCTTTCCATCCTCCACAGATGCCTTATTTCCTGGGCGAGTTCTGTGTACTTGCTAATTTTTTCAGTGCATGTGTTTTGTACATTGTGAGTATTTGGAATGGCTGTGTCTATAATGTATTTGATTTTATTGTGTTTGTCAATGAGTGTGATGTCTGGTCTGTTGTGGTAAATTGTTTTATCTGTAATTATGGCTCTGTTGTAGTACATTTTGTGCGTGTTGTTTTCCAATACTGTCTGTGGAATATACTTGTAGTATGGTTCGTGAATGTCTACCAAGTTGTGTTTCTTTGCAAGCTCTTGGTGTATTATATTTGCTACTTGATTATGTCTGTGTAAATAATCTGTCTGTGCCGAGAGCTTGCACCCAGAAGTGATGTGTTGTATAGTTTCTGGCATGATGTGACATTTCCTGCATGTGTCATTTGTGAGTGTTGTATCTTTGATTATGTGTTTTCTGTAGTTTTTAGTATTTATGACCTGATCCTGTATGGCAATCATGAAT